ATATCTTCCGTTGCTAAACTGACGTTGAATGTTAGTCTTGGCTAATACAAGGCCTTGCTTTCATACTGGTACAGGCTCGTGGTCCAAGGACTTGGAGGCATCCTCTCCTTGGATTTAACATAAGAACATAAGAATGTAGGAACACGGCAGAAGGCCTACTGGCCCATACGAGGCAGGTCCTTATCAAAACGACATCTACCTACTCAAGAAACAACTCCCGCACCCCCCAACACCAATCAAACCCAGCCCCTCCCGCTCATATATTTGTCCAGTCTCTTCTTAAAGCTACCCAAGGTCCTAGCCTCTATCACCCCACTGGGAAGACTGTTCCACGCATCTACAACTCTGATAAATTAGACACATGTGCAACTCTTGGGTATCTTTATTGAGGAAACGTTTCGCCACACAGTGGCTTCATCAGTCCATACAAAGGAGAATCTTGAAGAACAGGAGGAGAATGAGGTAATCAGTCCCTCAACCTTGAGTCGATGTGGTCAGTCCATCAATCTTGAATAGAATACGGCATACGTGCTGAGAAGGAGCTTATAAACCGTTGGCAGGAGAGGTGCAGCAGTCATAGGTCGTGTAACATTTGTTCAATGTTGAAGTAGGTCGTGCCCAAGAATGTTACACGACCTATGACTGCTGCACCTCTCCTGCCAACGGTTTATAAGCTCCTTCTCAGCACGTATGCCGTATTCTATTCAAGATTGATGGACTGACCACATCGACTCAAGGTTGAGGGACTGATTACCTCATTCTCCTCCTGTTCTTCAAGATTCTCCTTTGTATGGACTGATGAAGCCACTGTGTGGCGAAACGTTTCCTCAATAAAGATACCCAAGAGTTGCACATGTGTCTAATTTATCAACATGTCGGTTCTCTGAACCATTCATCTACAAACCTGTCAGACACTGCAATTTCTTGGGATCTTAATACTTGGGAATTCTTCGCTTGCCTAATTCTTGGGCACGACCTACTTCAACATTGAACAAATGTTACACGACCTATGACTGCTGCACCTCTCCTGCCAACGGTTTATAAGCTCCTTCTCAGCACGTATGCCGTATTCTATTCAAGATTGATGGACTGACCACATCGACTCAAGGTTGAGGGACTGATTACCTCATTCTCCTCCTGTTCTTCAAGATTCTCCTTTGTATGGACTGATGAAGCCACTGTGTGGCGAAACGTTTCCTCAATAAAGATACCCAAGAGTTGCACATGTGTCTAATTTATCAACATGTCGGTTCTCTGAACCATTCATCTACAAATCTACAACTCTGTTAGAAAACCAGTACTTACCTATGTCCTTTCTAAATCTAAATTTATCCAACTTAAATCCATTATTCCTGGTTCTTACCTGGTTCGACACCCTCAGTACTTTATTAATGTCTCCCTTGTTTATGCCCGTCATCCACTTATACACTTCAATGATATCTCCCCTCATTCTACGCCTCTCCAGAGAGTGGAGATTTAAGGCTTTAAGTCTATCTTCATACGGGAGGTTCCTTACACAGTAAATCATTTTAGTCATTCTTCTCTGTATGTTCTCTAATGAGTCTATGTCCATCCTGTAGTAAGGGGACCAAAACTGAGCAGCATAATCTAAATGAGGCCTCACTAGTGATGTATAGAGCTGTAAAATAACTTTTGGACTTCTGTTACTTATACTTCTTGAGATAAATCCAAGTAATCTGTTGGCCTTGTTGCGCACACTGAGGCACTGCTGTCTTGGCTTTAGATTTCTGCTTACCATGACTCCCAAGTCTTTTTCACATTCTGTATGACCAAGCCCCACTTCACCTAGATTATAGCTTCGAGGGTTATTTTCATTACCAAGGGCAAGTACCTTACACTTATCCACATTAAACTTCATCTGCCATTTCTCAGACCAAGACATTAATTTGTTCAAATCGTCCTGGAGTTCATTGATATCCTCCTCAGAGTGAATTATACGGCCTATCTTTGTATCATCAGCAAACTTACTCATGTCACTAGTAATCCCTTCATCAAGGTCATTAATGTAAATTATGAACAAGAGAGGGCCTAAAACTGATCCTTGTGGAACGCCACTAGTGACTAATCCCCATTCAGATTTCACTCCATTAATGGTAACTCTCTGCTTTCTATTGGTAAGCCATGCCTCAATCCATGCTAGAACTTTACCTCCTATACCATGAGCTGCCACTTTTCTTAAAGAGTCTCTTGTGAGGTACTCTGTCGAAGGCTTTACTAAAATCCAAATAAACAATATCATATTCCTTATCACTGTCAACTGCCTCAAATGTTCTATTGAAGAACGTCAGTAAGTTTGTCAGGCAGGAACGACCTCTCGTGAATCCATGCTGAGATTCATTTATCAAGTTATGCTCTTCAAGGTGACTTCTGATAATGTCAGCTATAATTGATTCTAATAACTTGCCCACTATAGATGTCAGGCTTATTGGACGGTGATTATCTCCTTCGTCCTGAACACTGTATAGCCCATACAGGTTTAGCGTATCCTCGTGATATAATATAATTGTGCCTTACACAAGTAATATAGTGCTTGACAAAGGTAATATAGTGTCTGACAATATAGTGTCTGACAATATGGTGTCTGACACAACATGGTGTCTGACACAATATAGTGACTGACAATATGGTGTCTGACACAATATGGTGTCTGACACAATAGTGTCTGACAATATATTGTCTGACACAATAGTGTCTGACACAATATAGTGTCTGACAATATAGTGTCTGACAATATGGTGTCTGACACAACATGGTGTCTGACACAACATGGTGTCTGACACAACATGGTGTCTGACACAACATGGTGTCTGACACAATATAGTGTCTGACACAATATAGTGTCTGACACAATATAGTGTCTGACACAATGTGGTGTCTGACACAATAGTGTCTGACATAATATAGTGTCTGACACAATATAGTGTCTGACACTATATTGTATCAATAAGGTGCCCGACAATAGTAATATGATGCCTGACACAGTATAATGCCTGACACTAGTAATATAGTAGCTGACACAATATGATGCCTGACACTAGTAATATAGTAGCTGACACAATATGATGCCTGACACTAGCAATATAGTGGCTGACACAGTATGATATCTGACACTAGCAACATAGTGGCTGACACAGTATGATGCCTGACACTAGCAATATAGTGGCTGACACAGTATGATACCCGACACTAGCAACATAGTGGCTGACACAGTATGATATCTGACACTAGCAACATAGTAGCTGACACAATATGATGCCTGACACTAGCAATATAGTGGCTGACACAGTATGATGCCTGACACTAGCAACATAGTGGCTGATACAGTATGATGCCTGACACTAGCAACATAGTGGCTGACACAGTATGATGCCTGACACTAGCAACATAGTGGCTGACACAGTATGATATCTGACACTAGCAACATAGTGGCTGACACAGTATGATGCCTGACACTAGCAACATAGTGGCTGACACAGTATGATACCTGACACTAGCAACATAGTGGCTGACACAGTATGATATCTGACACTAGCAACATAGTGGCTGACACAGTATGATGCCTGACACTAGCAACATAGTGGCTGACACAGTATGATACCTGACACTAGCAACATAGTGGCTGACACAGTATGATGCCTGACACTAGCTGACACCTGCATCACGGCTCAGAGAACAACACACACGTCTCTCCTCCTCACAAGTTACAGCCCAACTAAAAGAAATGTTTGTAAACAACCCCTTAAGAGGGATCAGCTGATTGCTCTACTCTCGTAAATTTTATCTAAATTCCCAAATAAACATTAAAAACAATATATATATCTTTCCTAACTGTTCCTAGTATTATCAGCATAATTTTTACCTTCTTATATATACGAAAATAACATCTAAAATGTTCCTAAATAATGGTTATATAGGAAAATGTCAAGATATTTTGAAAAACATCAATTTTTTCGTATATATACATTTGGGATAAATTATTTTTACCCTGATGAGTTCTATAATATTCATAGATGTATGCTAGTGTATATTTAACTGCATAAAATGTATATAAATCACAAAAAAAGGATAAATAAGGACACTGATTCTGCCTGACAATCTCTGTACAACACTTAATTACATCTTAAAATTCTGATAATTAGGTTAAGTTACAATAACCAGATTATTCTCTGGTGTGCCTACAGATAATACACACAATAAGATTACTTTAATTTAATACCTAAAATCCTATTACCATATATAATTTGTTACTTAACAATGTAATTGTTAGCTTAATTAAGAATTTTTAGCAATAGTAATTGTTACTAGCAATAAAATTGTTACTTAACAAAGTAATTGTTAGCCAATATAATTGTTACTTAGGTAATATAATTGTTACTTAAGAACAGAGTATTGTAATATCATAGTATTAGACCGGAAGTGTATATCTAGTGAATACACCGAGAGATGTGATATCTGAACTCTAAGGACGGAGAAATCGCTGTTATACAAAACCGAGTATGGTTTCATCCTAGTCGATAGTAATTAAAAATTCCAAAAAATGTATATTGGGATGTTTATTTTATTAATGAGAAATATTTAAATCACTGTCTCCTCAGTGATCCAAAATCTCCTCCCTCCTCCAATTCTCAGACCTATTTATACGTACGAAATTTATCGCATTCCTGTATGGTAAAAATACATAGATTGTGGATAAAATAACCTGAGTAATGGAGGCAATGATAGACTAGGTTAAATGCCCATAGGCAGTATATAAGCCCATAAAACTGAAAAATATAGTGGGTGATGGGTGGATTGGCGACACAAGCGTCTTGCTTGCCACAAGCCCGGGGGATCAGCCTCGTTAACCCTGCTTTTATTAATTTCGTTTTACGTGAGAATTACGCCATGTTATCGTGTGTGAAGGATCTTAAGTGTAGTGCAAGACATCGAGGAAGATGCTGGATGAGTTTCAAGAAGCTGGATGAACGAGGAGAAATTTTCTACGAGCAATAATATTCCGGGTCGACGGCTGAAGTTGCTGACGGGACGCCATTACTGAGTCGTAGTTATTTGAAGGAATTTTGATGTTGTGTAAGTATTCTGCAGCTCTGGCACCGTTTGTACTTTAATTTTCAGTAAGTAGTCAGTAGGTAGATGTAGGAAAGTGGAGGTAATAATGTTATATACTATCTTAACCTTACGTCGGTTCGTTCTGCAATTTGTCGTATATCAAATACATTATACAATATATCAAATACATTATACAATATATGTAATACAATGTATAATATACTACAGTACAGTACATTATAATATATGATACACTACAATATGTAATACATTACAATGCGGCCAGCAATAACAGCCTGGTTGATCAAGCCCTGATCCACCACGAGGCCTGGTCTCAGACCGAGCCACGGGGGCGTTGACCCCCGAAGCCGTCTCCAGGTGAACAATACACTACAATATATAATACACTACAATTATACAATACTACACTACAATTCACCTACAAATACGCTACAACTACATAAACTATACACTAATATATATATATATATATCTCTAAATATATATATAATATATATAATATTATATAAAATATATAAATATATATATATATATATATATGTTGTATATATATTAATGTATATATATATACATATATATTATATAAATGATAATAATATATATATATAAATATATATTGTATTAATATTATATATAAACATATATATTAATAAATATATATATATATATATATATATATTGTATATATATTTATATATATATAACAGTGATATAATAGATAAAAGTATATATATTGTCAATTATAAATATAGATAAATATATATAAATATATAAAAAATATATATAGTATATATAGATAAATATATATATTATATATAATATATATTAACGATATATATTATATATGCAAATAAAGATCCACAGTAAACAGGTGATTTCGGATAGCAAAACAACCACTTTGAAAAAATAGAGAAATTCCAAGCGCTTTTCGTGACTACTCACATATTCAATGAACTATGGATAATGTTATTAGTCACGAAGCGCTTGGAATTTCTCTATTTTCAGAGTGGTTGTTTTTTTGCATAATTATATTATATATTTATAATATATATATAAATATATATATATATATATAAAAATATATATATAATATATAAATAAAATATATCTATAAATTAATATAATTATAATTTTAATATTATATATATATTATAATATGTATATATATATATATTATATATATAGTTATATAATATGTAAATATATAATATATATATATATATATTTATATATATGATATATAATAAATTATATATAAATATAATATGTATATATATCTATTTTATATATATAATTATAAATAAGTGATTTATAAATATATTATATATATATTATATATATGTAAATTATATTATATATATCTATATATAAATAATTTATAAATATATAATATATATATATTATATATATGTATATAATATATATTAATATATATTATATTTATGTAAATATATATATATTATATATATATTATATATTTTGTAATATATATATATATAATTTATCTTATTTATAAAAAAGTATATATATATATATTATATATATGTAATATATATATTATATAGTACTTATATATATGTAAATATATATATATTATATAAATAGTTATATATAAATGTAAAATATAAGAATATATATATATATGATCAAATATATATATTATATATATATAAATATATGTATATATATATATATTATATATATATGTATATATATATCATTATAAATTATATAAATGTATATATAATATATATTATATATATATATATAAAGTAATATATAGGTAATAATAAATATATATTTATATATTTGTATTATATATAATATATATAAAGTATATATATGTATAATATAAAAAACCGTTATATACCCCCGGCCGGATTTTAACCTGCGGTCATAAGTCCTCTAAAACTCCACCCCGTCGCGCTAAACACTAGACCAAGCTAGCCACAAAAAAGATCATCCAACTAGTATATTTCTACACCATAGGAAAGGTTAGCAGCAGGCACCTCAGTGACCACAAATGCAAGTTTTTACAAAGACGAATCTCCAGCTCGCGTGAGCCGTACGAACTCTAGCTCAAGTCCCTTCACTGCCGTCACATTGACTTAAGAATCGTAATGACACGATTTGCAAATCAACCATACCCCCGTGCCGTATTTTGAACACGCGGTCATAGAGTCCAAAACTCCAGCCCGTCGCGGCTAACCACTAGACCAGCTAGCCACAAAAAGATTCATCCAACTAGGTATAAATCTAACACCATAGCAGGATAGCACAGGCATCCCTCTGTGAACCACAAATCAAGTTTTTACAGGACGAATCTCAGCTAGCGTGGCCGTGTGAGGGGGGGGGGGCCGAACTCTAGCTCAAGTCCCTTCACTGCCGTCAACATGTCTATAAGAATCGTAATGACACGATTGCAAATAAACCATATCCCCGTCCGGATTTAACCCCGGTCATAGAGTCTCAAAACTCCAGCCCGTCGCGCTAACCACTAGACCAGCTAGCCACAAAAGAATCATCCAACTAGGTTATTTGCTACACCATGGAAGGTTACACAGGCACCTCTGTTACCACAATCAAGTTTTTACAGACGAATCTCCGATCTAGCGTGGCCGTTGACGAACTCTAGCTCAAGTCCCTTCACTGCCGTCAACATGACTTAAAAATCGTAATGACACGATTGCAAATTAAACCATACCCCCGGCCGGGATTGAACCCGCGGAGTCCTAGAGTCTTCAAAACTCCAGCCCTCGCGCTAACCACTAGACCAGCTAAGCCACAAACAATATTCGAACCAACTGGTATATTTCTACACATAGGAAGGTTTAGCACAGGCCACCCACGAGACCACAAATGAGGCTAGAGTTTCGTCACGTCCATCGCTAGCTGAGATTCGTCTGTAAAAACTTTGCATTGTGGGCACAGAGGTGCCTGTGCTAAACCTTCCTATGGTGTAGAAATATACCTAGTTGGATGAATCTTTTTGTGGCTAGCTGGCTAGTGTTTAGCGCGACGGGCTGGAGTTTAGAGACTCTATGACCGCGGGTTCAAATCCCGGCCGGGGTATGGTTTATTTGCACTCGTGTCATTACATATCTTAAGTTATGTATATATATTTAAATTATATATATATTATAATATTAAATATATATATATTATATATAATGTATATATAATATAATATATGTATAATAAATATATATTATATAAAATATTAATATATGTATAAAATATATAAAATAAAAATATATATATATTATAAAATGTATATATATATAAATTATATATATAATATATATATATATATAAATATATAAATATATAAGTATATATATATATTACTATTACATAATATATATATAAGTGTATATAGTATATATATATATATGTATATATAAATATATATATAATGTGTGTATAAATATATTTATATAATAGTATATATCAATATATATATGTGTGTATATATATAATATATATATATATATATATAATATATATAAATATATATAAATATATATATAATATATTTATATATATAAATGTTTAGGATATAAATATATATAAATATATATATATTATATATATATATATATATATAATATATATATATGTATATATTATATATATATATTTATAATATGTATATTATATATAATAATATATTATATAAATATGTATAATATATAGATATTATATATATATGTATAAATATATATATATATTAATATATATATATAATATATTATATAGATTATATATAATATGTAAATATATATATCTATATTATATATATATGTTATATAATATATAAATATATTATAAATGTATATATATAAATATATATATTATATATGTATATATATATATAAATTTATATATATATGTATATATATATATATATATAATATTATATATATATATATAAATATAATAATATAAATATGTCTATTATATATTATATATTATCTATAAAGTATATATAAATATTATATATATATGTATAATATAATATATAATATATAAATATGGATAGATTATATATTTCTATATAATATTAGTATAAAAATGTAATATATATATAATATATATTATATATAATGTAGATATATATATAGATTATATTATATATGTATATATATAAATATATATATTATAGATAATGTATATATATATAAATTATATATAGATATGTATATATATATATATATATGATTATATAATATATGTAAATATAAATCTTAATATAAATATATGTATATATATTCTATATAATATAATAAATATATATGTATATATATATCTATATATTATATATATATGTATATATATATATATATATATATTATATATAATGTATATATATATATATATAATTATATATATAATTATAAAGAATAATATTATATATATATAGTATATATATATCATATATATATATATATAGATTATATATATGTAATATAAATATATATATAGATAATATATATATTATATATATATGTATATATAAATAAAATATGTATATAAAATAATATATATAAGTTATATATATATGTAAATATATTATATATATTTGTATTATATATCTATATAATATATATCATATATATATATATTATATATATATATATGAAAATATAAAATGTATATATATATATATATTATATAAATATTATAGGTAATATATATATATATATATATATGTAGATATATATATATATAGTATATATATATAATGTATATATATATATTATAAATGTATAAATATTAAATATATTTATATATATGTATATATATGTATATATAGTGAGATATATATACAGTATATATATAAGTATGTATAATATATAATATATTGTATAATATATCATATATATATTATATATATGTAATATATATAAATATTTATATATATAATATATTGTATATATATGTATATATATAATATATAGAATATATATGTCTATATTATATATATATATCATTATATA